ACCTCTCTGTCAGTGCGGCCGTGGCCGGCGCGCTGGGCGGCCTGCTCGCCTACGGCATCGGGCACATGGACGGCGTGCAGGGCCTCAGCGGCTGGCGGTGGATCCTGATCGTCGAGGGCATTCCGAGCGTCGTCCTGGGCGTGGTGACGTACTTTGTGCTGCCGAACGATGCCGAGACGGCGTGGTTCTTGGACGACGCCGAGAAGGCGCTCATGGAGATGAGGAGGAGGAGGGAGTATGGGAGCACCAAGAGCAGCGGCGGCATCGAGAAGAGTGATGTGCTGAGGGCCGTGACGGACTGGAAGGCCTGGGCCTTTTATGTTGCGCAGTTTGGGGTTGATACCATGCTTTACGGTGGGATTCCCTCCCCAATTGCCCCCTTTCCCAACCTGTTTTTGCTCAACTTGTTTTTGAATCGTAGTCTCCGTTTGACATTCCGGTCTTGCTAATGCGTAGCGAAGGCTTTTCTACCTTTTTGCCGACAATCATCCAGGCACTGGGGACATGGACGACGGCGCAGGTCCAACTCCTTACTATACCGTGTTACTTTCTCGGCGCGGCGGCTTACATGGCCACGGCGTTCTTGTCGGACCGTATGCAGATGAGGGGACTATTTTGTGTCATTTTCGGGTCCATCAGTGTGGTCGGATACGGAGTGCTGCTGGCGGACGTGGCGACTAGTGTGCATTATTTTGCGTGTTTCCTGGTAGCAGGCGGGTTGTATGTTGTTGTTGGGCTGCCGTTGGCGTGGGTTCGTTCTTTTTTTCTCTTTCTTTTCCTGTTGCCGTCGAGGACACTGGCTGAGGGATGTGCTGACGACTTAGTTGCCAAACAACTCACCGCGGTACGGCAAGAGGGCAACGTCGACGGGTTTGCAGCTTACTTTTGGTAATGCCGCCGGCGTCATGTCTGCTTTTATTTAGTAAGTTTCTGGCTGCTTAGCCCTCCCCGCACCCTTTCTCCTCTTTAATTCTTGTTTATTTGTCATTATTGTTTCGGGATGTTGGCGGGCGTGGCAATGTTGACGCTTTACAAGCCCCAAGCCAGATGCCCCGAGATATATTCGCGGTCATGCTGTCTGCCTGAGCATGGTGGGCATGGGCACAGCGATTTACGGGTTTCTGTGGTTTTGGTACTGGCGGCAGAATAAGAGGCGGGAGGCCGGTGTGATGGAGGACAAGTTTAGGGATATGGAGGAGGAGGAGTTGATGGAGCTGGGGGACGATAGCCCACGGTTTAGGTATATGATATGATGGGGGCTATTTCGTGATGAAGGACGGGGTTCTTGCACCCTTTTTGCGGCTATAGAGGTCACCTACTGGTGAGTATTGCGATGGATGCCAAGTGGTGCATTTCGCTCAAGTGGCATTTGAGTGATCTGGAACACAGCGGCGCGAGAATAACCCAGCACGGGTAGTGTACAGGTACATTTCACTCTCTCAAGAAAACCAATGAATACCCGACACTCATCTCCCCAAACTGAGTCGACTACGGGACATGCATAGCTGGCATCCGATAGATGGCAATGTCCGATTGTCACCTCTACACCGACGACTCATAGTCCAGTCTCACAAAGCCATCAATTGGAACCCCCATACCGGAGGCTATCTGCGACTCGAGAATCCGTCTCAATCTATTTCCCGGCCCAAAAGCCCCCTGAGCCGTCAAGTCAAACCAGACCAGCCACGCAAGCCCACGCGCTCAGGAATTGATTGAGAACAAAAACCACATGGCCAGCCACACTAAAGGGGCAAGGGGGAAGAAAACCAAAACGGCCTTGACACAAAATCCAAAATCGCTAGCTGCCACCCGGAATCGGCACCAATTGTCTCTCTCCTTGTGGTAGATTTTGCCATGGAGCGTGGTATGTGGAGACGTCAAGGGAGGGAGAAGGCAGAAACACACATATTGCCCTCGGCGTGCCAGTCGCGGGTGCAACAGACGCGTAGAGAGGTTCTACACCGAATAGTCGGTCCTTTACTGGCTGATGGCGCCGCGATTCGACGAGTATTGCATACCGTTTGCAGCGCGTCGGCGGCCGCAGAAGGTGGCATAGATATAAGGAGTTGACGGTTGCAAGTATCCCTCCATTCGTACAGACCCAAGTTGAACTGACACACTCTGTTTTCTCATTGAGCTTGAAACAAGAAGAAATCGAACTCTAAAACCCTGGTGAATTGAGAAATCTCGCCGGTTTTCTTTGCCCATGCAAGAAGCATTCACCCCCTTCCTCCAGTTATCCCACGCACCCCCCAAACAGACGGCGAATAGAGTCATTATGGCGGGCAAAATGGTCAATCTGTTCGCCCTGCTGATTAGTCTGATCGGGCTGGCGCTGGCACAGACACAGACACAGACACGGACACAGACGTCGGCGGTTGACGCAGCGGCAACCATGTACATGACGTCGACGGTTGCGATGACGGGGTCGACGACTACGGCAAGGCCATCTGCGTCGGACAAGACGGCCGGACAAGTGACTACGAGGGCGGATGACAATTCCACGACGAGTTCGCAGTACACGAGGGAGCAGACGGGCCTGCCGACGACGACGATTCCCAACCCGCTGATGCACAATGCCGGGCGGAGGCCGTCGCAGCCGGGGCTGGGCAAGATTTCCGTGGTGGTTGGGCTGGTCACGTACGGGCTGATCCTGATGTGAGGCGATGGTTTTGCGACGAGGCATGGAAGCTGGCTCTTTCGTGGCTCTACGGATTGGGGCGGCGGGCGCGGCAGTGGCTTGTAAATTCAGCGAAAATGGTTTGAATCGGACAATATACCGTTTTATTCAAAAAGTACAGCCGCACGTTTCCATGTCTTGAACTGCCTCGGTGACGGTGATTCGTAGACGGATTCAATCAAGGGAGACGGACACGTCACACCTGATGTATGAAAACGGCTCCCCGAAAATCGTCGCTTCTCGACTTGCCGCCATCTGTCGTACAACCCGCGCAAAATAAGCTGCTGTTGCACGAGGCGGGGGAAATAATAATAATGATAAAAATAATGGCCGATTATCGGCGGAGTACGTTTCCCATCTCCCTCGTCGGAAATCACAATTACGCATGGGGATGTAGAGACTCGAGACCTTCGCTCCCCGACAAAGATCGCACTGCCCACGACCCAGATTGGCCCTCTGGTTTTTCGGAGGTTGCACCACTGGCTTTCACCTTCTTGGGAGCAAAAACTCCAGATGTCGTGATTTTGCGCGGCCGACACGCTTCGGCTCTGCCTTTGACGGCGCTCCACTTGATGCTGGTTTGACGGGCGTGGCCGATGACACCTTGGATCGTTGCAAGAGAAGCATAAAAGGAGAAGCAGTCTTCTTCTTCTTCGTCTTGGCATGCGTAGTTGCAAGCTCGGGTGCTTGCCATTGACACTGTCTTGCTCCCCTATCATACCGACTGACAAGGAAAAACGCTCATCCCACGGATTCTCACCGCCAGGCGTGACCAGCATAGTAACCTCTTCGCAAAGACGTTAAAAAGGGCAAAAACAACACCGCCATGACACCAGTAGTACACGTCGTCCTCTTCCAGTTCAAGGACGGCCAGACGCCCGACCAACGCCGCGATGTGAGTTCCAGGAACACCCCTACAGACACTTTCCATCGCTGACCGCCAAAACTCGCCTCGTTCTCCAGCTCTGCGACAAGATGCTCGGCCTGAGAAACAAGTGCCTCCATCCTGCTTCCAAGCGGCCCTACATCAAGTCTTCCATGGGCGGCTTGGATAGAAGCATCGAGGGCTGCCAGGTAAGGAGGACCTGCCCGCGCACCAGCACTGCAGTAATTTTTATTCTTTCCTTGTGCTGAAACGAGCTTGGCAGCACGGCTCTACCCACGCCTTTGTTGTCGAGTTTGAAAGCGAGCAGGACCGCGACTACTATGTCAACGAGGATCCTGCGCAGGCCAGTTTCGTGCTCGAGGTTCTGCAGAAGTTGGACAAGGCTACTATCCTTGACTTTTCGCCGGGCGTATTTTGAGCGAGGCCGTCTTGGGGGTTGTGGGCAGAAAAATTGATCAAGGGTTTTTGCTTCATGTCTGGAGATTTGGGATTTATATGGGCTGCATGGCTGGCGGGTTGAGCGAATCAATATTGAATTCATGGCGCCAGCGGCTCGGCCGTTTTTTTCTTCTTTTTCTCCTTTTTTTTCTTTTCATGTTATACTATTGTAGATGGGACTTGCACTGGAGTGACTCCGGCAATGTATGGACTGGGTTTACTATCGACAGTGCATATCCTGGGTCTTGTTGCGGTTTATACGATACATGGCGCAGGTACATCGTTTGGCTAGTCTTCACCACGAATTGTTGAACGACGCCTATCTTGGACTCTCCGTGTACATCGGAAACGGACCGGCTGTCTACTCCCCTGGCTCGTTCATATACTAGCTGCAACGGTTCTTGAGAGGCGAAGCCCAAACGTCCGCCGGGGCCGCACACCACGTACCTAATCATCTCATACACATAACATTTATTGTACTGTACACAGCCAACAGCTAACAGCTGAGACCGACTCATTGTGTGGCGTATAATAATATACATAAAACCCTCCCGTTGTTGTTATATAGACACACAAGAAAAAAGAAAGAGTCCTCCCCGCGCCGTTCCCGTATAATCATCTACGCACTACCTTGCCTTTTTCCTCTCCAGCATATCCTGGATATCCTCCTTGCCCTTGCCCTTCGCCCCGGCACCCCCATCCGGCGCAAACGTCGTCGACACCTCCATCTCCTGCGCGCCCTGCTTCCTCAGTTCCTCCAGCCGCCTCTTCTTCTGGATATCCGCCACCCGCCACTGCTTGAAGTACTTGACCCAGGCGGCTGCGCAGTCGCGCTCGAAGTCGTCGCTCTGGCGGGGACATGCGCGCCTCGCGGCGGCCGCGTCCTTGTTGGCGTCGAGGATGTCGTGGGCGTCGAGGCAGGCAAAGTATGCGTCGCGGGCGGCCCAGCAGACCGCGCGCTCCTGACGCGTGGGTATGGCTGCGCCGGACCGGATCTCGTCGCCGCGGGAGGACGACGGGAACGGCCACCAGCTCATTGTGACGCCGTACGCGTGACGGGTGTTGTTTGTGTATGTAGTGGTGCCGGAGCGAGTGTGGGTGGTTTGGTTGTGATTCTGCTGAATATGCGCGTCTGTGTCACACGGATTTCGTCATCAGCGTCCGATGGGGAATCGAATTGGTACTTGAAAGGAGAGAGCTGGCGGATGCAGACTTGTGCCGAGTAATGGATGATGTGTATTTGCTAGTTGCACAAGTTAATCTGGAGCTTTGCAATGGAGGCCTTCAAAAAGCTATGACGAGTAAATGGCAGAATCCCGGGCGGTGAGCCCACGGCCTTTGCCGGCCACTCTTCAACGGGCCTGCTGCAGAGCACCGAGCTGTGGCTTGAACCACCCATCGCAAACCCTCGACATTCTCAGGTTACTATCCCGCCTTCTGCCACGTCAAGATTCCGTTTTATTTATTTTTTTTTAATTCTGGAGCGCACACACGCAACATATATTTCTTCCTTCTACTACAGTCACCTGGATTCTGCCATCTTTTCCCTTGACGACTGTGCACTCTAGCAGGCTGGGAGCTACAGACACCGAGCCAGGGCAACCACATCGCGTCGCCTACACAAGCATCAAGAATAGCCATCCACAAGCGCCGGCGCTGTCACTGTTATCCCATCTCGCCAACACCAACTCGTCGACTCACACCTGATTCTACATATACATCCCGCCCACCTCGACTGGCGCGGCCCCCCTTCTTTCACAACGACCACATCCCACGATGGCTCGGCGGAGAAAGCCCCCACGAGCTGGCGCATTATCTGAGCTCCAGCCGCTCAAGATTGCCACGCAAATAGCCACCCTCCAAGCACTATACTACACAACGGCCGGGGTGCTCATGCTCTTCACGGCCCTGGTAGCAGGCATGAGCTTCAGCGTCGACATGATACTAGGATGGGACGCCGTGCGCGGCGACACAACCCAGGGGTGGCTGCTATCGTTCATCTGGCTGATTGACGGCGGTCTCTGCATGTACGTGATACCCTTGTCCCCCCCAACCCCGTCAGTTTGCGGAATGGGACCCGTGCCCTCGCAAGAGTTACTAACGCCGCGGTTCTAGGGCCGTCGCCATCGTCGTCCTCATCGCGAGAAGCAAGCTCGTGCCCGACTTTGCCCTGACCATCCACTTCCTGCACCTCCTCTTCACGGCCTTGTACACGCGCTCTCTCCCCAGACACTCCATGTGGTGGATGACCATGATGGCATCTGCCGCCGCCGCCGTCGCCCTCGGCATCTGGGGCTGCCGCTACCGCGAGCTGCAGCCCGTCTTCTTCGGCGGCGGGCGAATCCTCGGCTCGAATTCCGCGCTGGCCGCCGCGTCCAACAGCCAGGCTGCTGCCGAGGAGGGCCAGGCCGGTCTTGACGACGCCGGCGCCGAGGACGACGGCTTCTCGCGCGGCAGGGGCAGAGGCAGAGGCCGTGGGAAGGACGGAGCCGGCGAATATGAAATGGTGGGCATGAAGCAAGCAAAGGACTGAGCCGCCTCGGAATTCTACAGCCGTGTTTGCTGAAACTTGTGTCTTCATCTTGGAATAGCGTGCATTGCTCGGCGTTTGGATTGTCCTATAATACTAGTGTTAAACCAAGGGGGAAAAAGCCAGGAGCGGGGAAATGGGCATTGAGGGCTTTTTTCTTCCCTCCCATGTTTTTCTTGACGCGAGACGACGCAAGCGGAGCTATCATCTATCGAAATAATACCAGATACAAATGTCATTATTACTTCTGTTACTTCCAGGTAACCGCTTCATAAACCCCTATTGTGTCTGTCTATGTCATCATAACTACGTGAGCAGCTTCACACGTCTTCGTTCCCCCAGATACAAAATACATGCTTCCGCCCCCAAGTGCCAGATTGTACAAATTCCTACTCGTGCTTCATGCCCCCGCCACAACAGCCAGGTTGTCATAGATGGCCCTCTTGACTTCATACAGCGTATTCCTCCTCCCCACAACCGGCAATCCCACACTCTCCACCTCGATTCTCCCCTCCGCGGTCTTGCGTACAGACACTGACCCGTCGATAACGAGGATACCTTCTCCTCTGAACTCGGCTCCGTGCCCGGATCCCTGCATAGCCCTTCGCAAGTCGGCAAGCCGTAAATCTCCCACATGCAGAGGCTGCGCGGCCGTCCTAGCCGCTGACACAAGATTTGAAGGGATGACGTCGAGGACAGGCAGGACGCCAGAGGAATTTGCGAGGGCCGTGGATGTGAGGGCCACGGCGGTAGAAGGCTCCGTCTTTTGACGCTTATTGGAGGAGTCTTCGTCACTGGGCTCAGTAGCCTCGGCCGTGGTATTGGTCGCGAGTAGCTGCCCGCTGATAGTGACAATGGATAGGCCCCGTACGTTCTGCCACTTGAGTTTCTTGACGAGGGGGTCCGCAAGCTTCACGACCCAGGCGTTGGTGTCGACGCTTGCGTCAACCCAGACGCCGACCGAAGGGGTGAAGACGTCGACGGCTTTATCACCGTCCATGCCGAGTGCGGCGCGGCAGTCTTCCGCAAGACTCATAGTCTCTTCGTGGTTGCCGCCGACGAGGATGAGTTTTCGGGGTTGGATGAGGGGGATGAGCATGTCTAAACTTCGGCGGTCGTGGAGGCCGCTGAAATCGACGAAGCCGATGCGGAGCTTGGCTTGGACCGTTTCAGTGGTATAAACCAGCTTGCAGGGACCCGTCGGCTCCTCGGGTTCTGTGTCTTCTACATCGTCGAGATCATCGGCTGCATGGCCGTCTGCAGCGATGCCGTCATCACCATCTTCAGCAGCACCTTTGCCAGGCTGAGGTCGCTTATTGGGGCCGTTTGCGCCTTTGACCACATCATCCCACTTTCTCTTCTTGCCTAGCTTGTCGTCGTCCAAAGTTAGATGACTGCCATCGGCATTGTCTTCATCCTTCTCTTCAGCTCGGAGATAGTCTTCGGGTCGAATCAACTCGCCAAAATCGTCATTTCTCTTTCTCCGAATGGCTACTGGGAAGCATCGCTCTCTACCCTTCTTGCCGCGCGAGTCGAAATCGTAGACGCCCTTACGCTTGATGAGAATATTAATGCCGAGGTCCTCATCCTTGAGAATAACATTCTTTCGGCCTGCTTGGCCCATGGTGGCTGAGACCGTCAGTGCCTTGCCTTGTTGCTGACCATCTTCGTCTTCAGAGTCTGAGGATGATTCTGAAGAAGCGTCATCGACAACGTCCGTCGGGCCTTCAAGAGATCCAGCAGCACCAGTCTGCTGGGTTGCTTGGAGCTGCCGTTGAGTAGCCAGCCATTGTTGATAGACGGCAAGTTCATCACCTTCCAGCGCTTGCCGGGAAGCCTCGCGAATCTCCAGCTCTCGGCCACCTGCTTGGACTGTTTCGATATTGTCACCAGTGCTAGTCTGCTCCACAGACACTCCGTCCTTTCTCTCCTTCCACCATTCCCATAGAGTTCTCCCTATTGAGGGCCTATCATCCTTGGCAATGGTCGGCCTATCCGTCAATATGACAAGATTATTTGGGTCTTTGGCAAGCTCCCTCAAGACATCCTTCGAGAAACCCCACTCCATGCTCGCATCGCTCGCAAGTATCACCCGCCCCTTTGCTGCTTCACCTTGGGCAGAGGCAACCTGGTCCAGAAGCTTTGAAACCTGTGCCTTTCTCTCCAGGAGTCGAAGATATTTAAAGTCAAATGGTCCGCCGTCTTTCTTTTCAACAGTTCCATTTGCCTTTCGTTGACCCTCGGCAAAGGCTTCGAATTCCTGAACGATGTTATCGTCCATCCATTCCAGCATGCTCCTGGCGTATCGCATGGTGCTCGACATATTCCGGCCAGCAAGATACAATTTGGCCGAGTTCAGGACACCATTATCGGACGCCGCGTCTGCTCTCCATGCATGTTCGAGAAGATAGGACAATTCCAGGACTCTGGCGCTAGAATCAACAGGTATCAACACGGTACCTCCCTTGGTAACACAGGTCTTGATCATCTCGAGTAACTGTTCGTCTCGTTTGGCGCGGCCGGCAGTCTGTGCCGATTTCTGGGCGCCACGGCTGCTGCAAATTAGGGCTGTAGGCTTGCGAAGCTGTTCTATTACTTCGGCGCCGCCGCCTCCCGCCCCTCCAAGCCAAGCTGCGCCAGCAAAGACATTTTCTCGTGCCTGGTTCCAGTCCACCGCATAAACAATCGACTCCAGACCATGTTGTATATGCCAGATGGTACCTCCAAGAGTGTGTCCGGAATTGTATGCGGTGATGGTGAGCCCGTTCAGCGGTGGTGAGAACGGAGACGGAAGAGGTTGGTGCGGTTGAGAATATTTGAGGGGTTGGATCAGGGAGAAGTATCGCGCAATCTGGTCGGGAGTGGGCGATTGCAACAGGAGGTTCTGCGCCGTGGCGGCCGTTTGTGTGTAGGCATAAGCTATCTCGGATAGAGAACTTTGGCGAATGGTGGTGGAGGCGGCGGGCGTTGAAGAATAGAGGTCTTGAATCAGAGATCGGCCAAGATCAATGACAGGTCGAGTCGCATAGGCAGGTATGCGCGTAAATAATGGAAAGTTTTTGCAACAGTGAACGTAGGCAGCGAGATGGGAGGCCGTCGCATGGGTGAGAAGGATCAAGGAAAGAGTTGGCACTTGTCTGGCAAAAGGTAAGGCTCGTTGTCAACACGACAGATTATCAAGGGTATATTCATGACAGGGTCAGAAAAACTCACTTTTCCAGCTCCTCTAGCTTCCTAACGTCAAAAGTCTCGTCCCATCCAAGACCGACGAGGACTTTGACTCCCCCATCAAGCTCCAAGAGTGACTGCGACGCCGTGGACTCGGACAGCGCGCCTTGGAGCGGGCAGAAGGTGAACATGGCGGCTGCGGCACAGCAATGGTGCCAGAGCTAGAGGAAATGCAGCATACAGCGAGCTTGCTCACACCAGCATTCTCTGGTCTGCAAGCGCTGCAACAGCAATGTGTCGTGCGACAGTGGTCAATCGGCACAGCCTGGCACTCAAAGAGCTCTAGTCGCGCGTCGGGATCGGTTGCATGGATCCGGTACGAGCAGCTTCTGGAGTCCAGAGAAGCGATGCAGGGAGCAAAAGCAAGGCTGCTCCATAATTCGACGGTCGATTGGGTGCAGCGACACGGCGCGTCACGTGCCAAAGCCGAATCTACTGCAGGAGGGGGTACGTACCTTGGCTGCGGATTGGCTTGCGGGGACTCGATTATATAAGAAAATGATGAGGCAGAGGGAGCCCCTCAAGCCACTCCGCAGCTAAAAGAGATGTCTCACAGAGTCGCAGCTGCAACGTCTGTTGCCGGCTTGCCGCCATGGGGCACTCACTACTCACTGCATCCACCAGCCCGCCGCGGTCTGGCTGGCTCGCTGGGTGGGGGAAAGCAACCTTCAATCAATTGGCGCAGGGCAGTTGCGATCCGCGGCCGTTGAGGAAAGAGCGCGCAGAGACGATTTCCGACGGCCACAGGACCAGATCCGATAGGCAGCCAGTTTTCAAGAAGCGTTCTGGCACGCAACGCAGTAGTCAACTCGGAACTCTTTCCTTTTGTATATCATGACCAAAGTTCCGATGGCTTTGCTCGCGCTACTTGCGAACCTTGGTCTTGTCAGTAAGTCATCGAAGTTGTCAAGCCGTCAACCAACCCCACTTGGTCCAACCCCGGATTCTTTCAGATTAATTGCCACCGGTAACGACTGATGTCGCGTAACTTCTACGACTGAGCTTTGAGAAGGGAGAGGCAATAGACACTGGGCATGCAACAATTGAGTACTCATTGTACGAACTTGCAAAACCAACAGATATTGTCCTGAACCACCAAACGGGCGCGCCACATAACTGAGCCTAGGCTTCGCTTCCAGCCTTTGCAAGCATAATCACTATGAGTTCCGTTGCAAAGCCTGTCATTATCAGCGGTGCTGGAATCGTTGGTTTGACCCTTGCTCACGGCCTCAAAAAGGTAATACCAGGTCCTTTCAACTGCTTGACTAACAAGCCAGCCTCCTGATTGAGCGCTGCTGGTTCTCTGTTGCTGAATTCGCTAACCGTGCCCACCTGTAGGCCAACATACCCTTTGAAGTATACGAGCGTGACGACCATATTGACGCTCGCGGTCATGGCTGGGCCATTACAATTCATTGGGCACTACCGTTCCTCGTTGAGCTTCTCGATGATGCCACCATTGAGGCAGTTGAAAACGTCCAAGTCGACCCAGAGGTTGGCCGCAACGACAACGGCAACTTTCTCTTCATCAACCTTGAAACTCTAGATTCCAAATTCCGCATCCCACCCAACAAGCGGCGCCGGGTCAACCGCGAGAAGTTGCGCAAGGCTCTCCTCCAAGGTGTCGCGGATCATGTAAGATGGGGGAAACGGTTAGACAACATTGAGCTAGCCAATGGTGAGGATGGGGGCGTTCGCGCTCACTTCACAGACGGTTCTTCCGTAGAAGGGAGCATGATTATCGGCGCCGAGGGAACCAACTCTCAGACAAGAAAGTTTCTCGTGCCGGATAACTATAGAAACCACCAACTTCCCGTACGGTTCATAGGTGCTGCGGTAGACATGACCCCGGAACAGGCCAAGCCTCTACGCGACATTGACCCTTTGCTCTTCCAGGGCTGCCATCCCGTGACCGGACATTTCCTCTGGGTATCCATGATGGAGTCTCCCGAAGTGAACGGCACAAAGGGGACAGATAACGAGCGGTACAGAGTTCAGATCATCACATCGTGGATGGTCAAGGGCGGAAAGGACGAGGTCCCGCCCAGCGATGCCGAGCGTGTCGCCGAAATGAAGCGACGTGCCACTGGATTTCACCCACTCCTTCGCCAAGCAGTCGAACAGATTCCGCAATCAGCACCAGTACTGGAAATCACACTCCAAGACTGGCCATGCTTCGACTGGGATAATCGTGACGGCCGGGTGACGCTCGTGGGTGACGCAGCACATGCCATGACCATGTATCGCGGTGAAGCTGCCAATCACGGAATGCTAGACGCTTACAACCTCGTTCAATGTCTCAAAAAGATGTATTCTGGCAAGGTATCATGCAAGGCTGCCATTGACGAGTATGAGGAGGAGATGAGAGATCGTACGGGCGGTGAGGAAGGGGCTGTCATGTTGAGCCGACAGGCATGTTTGGATGCGCATGACTTTCATGGTTTGAATGAGAAGTCGGCAGTGTTGAAGAGACGAGCGATCAAGGCTAGGTGAAGATTGGCATATGGTTGATAAAGGCACAAAGGACCGTTCTTAATATGGATCGTTTGTCCTACAGTCAAACTGGATATACCGGTTGTTCGACACTCAGATACATGTGTCTATTATATTATTCTTACGAGGCACTCACAGGAATTTCGATAATACCGATTTCCCTCATTACATTCACAGTAGTTGTTCATTAACAAGCACGCTACACATTTCCGTCAGACTCACTTACACCACGGCAAACCGCAAGCAACAACAAGAGACAAGCACGTGGCCGGCGTGTGGACACGTCTCCCGCAAAGAAGACTCAACAGGCCCCGCAGATAAGCCACTATACGCGAGTGCTAAAATAGACAATATAGTAGATAATCGAGAGCGCTAGATGAGTGAAGCTTGTAATACACGGGCACCTCGCCTTCGATATACGCACTCCTCTTTAAAATCCGATAACATCACGGTCTATGCCGCCTTGGAGATAGCAGCATGACGGTATATATTTAGTCTCGACGACCCTGAGGGATCCCGAGTGTCGGAAACCAACAAGAAGCTAAAGCCGCCACGCATCCCCCCCATCCATCGCCAATCGCCAATCGGCAACTCGTTGTCGAAAACGCCATCCGGCACCTAATCATAAGCTCCCTTCCCTAGCCCATATCCAGCAGTACCCCAACTCCACCTTGAAATAACGCAATTCCACAAACTTTGCCGAAGCGTGGCATGCCTCCTCTCGATCCCTCTTGAAATCACAGGGCCTCGCATAAAAAAAAAAAGAGAGAGAGAAAAGGAAAGGGGGTGGGGGGACATCCGGCGCTTAACCTCACCTAATCATAAGCTCCCTTCCCTAGCCCATATCCAGCAGTACCCCAACTCCACCTTGAAATAACGCAATTCCACAAACTTTGCCGAAGCGTGGCATGCCTCCTCTCGATCCCTCTTGAAATCACAGGGCCTCGCATAAAAAAAAAAAGAGAGAGAGAAAAGGAAAGGGGGTGGGGGGACATCCGGTGTTTAACCTCGGTTGTTGACCGGCAGTTTTCCCTGCTTCGTTTCGTGGGCTGCGTCGGCCGCTTTTTCACCGACGACTAACTGCCCGGGTGGGCTGCAGGGCCGTGGTTTGCAACGGTCCTATATTAAGTTGCGGGTGTTGCTTTGCTCCTCGCCTCCCATTTGACAATGCGGGGGGCTGTGTAGAGGAAGGGGCTCAGGGGAAGAAAGGGTGAGAGGAGGTCGGTGCACTTGTGAGAAAAATTTTGCAACCGCCGTGTTCTAGACGGCCATTTATGATCTCATGGATCTCGTTAGAGAAAAGTTTCATTTCTTCGAGGCCATCATTGCTTCCATGTAAATGGATGACGCGGACATCAACTACCCAATTATCACGCTCTATACTAAAATATACTACAACTAGCATGTTAGTGTATTCTTCTTGATCGGCAAGTTGCATATTCTGCCACAACTGTGAATGATGTAAATTGATTGCATCTCTTGGCAGACTCCACCTTGCCTTTGTGGGAAATTTTAAGGTTTCGATCAACTACTTTGATATGTTTATACAGAATGGGGTTTAACTTGGAGGGGGAAAATAGCTTGGGCATGCCCAGGTGTCAAGTTCAATTACACTCCATTCGTATGCATTATGGGGATCAAGATTAGTCAACGACAAAAAATTGCCCACTCAACATTGATAAGTAAGATAAAAACGCCCACGTACCCGGATGGACTGTATCTACATGCTCCAGGATTGAAGCCTTCAAACCACCGGTCCTCCCATTCGTAAGTCAACCCAGATAGAACTCGCTTGGATGAACCCCCATTTTATCAGCCAGAACCCAAGCAACGCTATTCGTGCAAGCTCAGAAACTTCATACAAAAGAGGGGAATGCCGCCCTCATATCCAAATATATATCGGAGAATAGAATGTCCCCACCTTCCCAAGTCTAATCTCAGGCTTAAATACAGAATTTCTTGTCCAGCATTCGCAGCGCTCTAGCATCCTCACTGACACCGCCGCATTTCTCCATGACAGCTCCGCTTATCCGTGGGCTGCTACTGCTGGAGCCATTGCTAGCAGGCTTGCTATTACAAGAGTCGCTAGTAGGGTGGAGTAGCGCTGACAGGCTGGATCTGTGACCACTGGGAAAGGCATTGGGCAAACCGTTCTCGTGTGAACTTCTTGGAGGGCTCACGCTGTGATTTCGGGTCGGTGGTGTCATGGCTGGATGCGGGACCGGGGCTGTGACCGAGTTGAGTGCTGGCAACGGCCCATGCGAGCCCAGTCGTTCCCTGTGTCCGGGAGAGTCCTGGAGTCTAGGCGGCGATGCTCCCCGTTGGTATGCCGGGATGGAGGCGGTTTTGGACTGCGGCAGGGGTGGAAGTGAAGGGCGGTCATAGTGTGGCGGCGGTGGCGCGTGAGTATAGTGAGGCGCCGGATATGCAATAGGGAGTTGCGAAGAAACCTGGGTCATGTGAGGATGAAGAGGATGAGGGTGAGTACCAGGCGGGAATGGAGCCGGTGCGTAATGTGCGTATGGAGGAGTAGCAGCAGGTGATGGTGGCCATCCGTACCCCTGCTGGGCGTAGTGAACATAGGCTTGTTGGTGAGCGTGGGCGTGGTGAGGAGCAATCATATATGGCTGTTGCATCGGTGCCCGGGTGAGAGCAGGAGTCTGGTTCGTCTCGCCCATACTAGACTCTGGATACATCCCCTTTGGAGGGGCGATTCCTCTAAGAGAAGGATCGGAGCTGGGCTGAGGGAGTTCGGGCTGGCCTGGTTGAGGGCGCGAGTAGTATGAAATCAGATGAAGATGTTGGCCAGTTGAGGTAGTGATGCTGAAAGACTGCTTCATCAAACCGTCGGCTTTGTATCGATAGCCCTCAGGCTCGCCGTCATCGTGGTCCTCGTCGCTTCCACGGCCAGAATCAGGTGTCTTTCCGGCGCCTCGTCGTCCACTTCCAAATCCCCCCCCTCGCTTGCCCTCCATTTCACGATAGGTCAAGAAGCTGCCGGATACACGACTAGCACTCCAGGACTTTCCGTCAGTCCACCGCCTCATGCCAGCTTCCCTCTCATCCCACACAAAGACGGAACCGGAGCGAATCGACTGCCTCTCCTTTTCAGAGAGTCGACGCTGTACTCTGGGTAGCAGCCCTAGCCGGCATGCCTCAAACAATTTGATGGCGTCGCTGGGAGTACGCACGAAACCGTGGTACGTCTCCATCTTGTCTGAACTGATGGAATCCGTTTTGAAGGTTGTTAACCGTACCTGCTTTCGCAGGACGTCAAACCTGGGAGAAAATAGTCAAGTTTGGCGCAATACTACACCAAAATTAGGTTCCGAAGAAATGAACTCGAGGCAGATCCATCAAGTTTTTGAAAACTTGGTGAGTACCTGAGCCCAAATCGACGCAGCAAGCAACCCTTTCAGGTTGAAAAAGTACCGAGTTAACCAGTCGAGACTAGAAAGAGATTGGTCAGCATCAGGGCAAGAAGCTGGCATAGTGTCAAGTTCTTGGGATGATGAATAACACAAAGGGTCTGGCGGCGGCAGAGGTTTTCCAGACAGGTGACAAGGTGGTAATGTGGGCAGAGGCAGCAGGGAAACAAGCTCTCTTATGGGTGGTGTCAAGGTGCTTTCTGGGCTACCACGTCAAACAAGACGGACGGCCGGCCAGCAGCAAACGTGGGACCCGCCCATGCCGATGGCGGGCTAGAGCGACCGTGAAGTATATTGTGTGGGAGGTTTGCCATCATCTTGGTCCGTGCCGGTAAGGATAGTACCCTTCAGCACTTGATCTGCTGAGACCCACTCGGCCTAAGTTTCCCTTCTTTGCTGTCAAGGCGCTGGCTGCCCTCTGGCGATGTGCATAGCAACTTGAGACGAGAGGATCTGCCACCATGCTTCTTAAGGGGGGCCGTGGGAGACGTCTTGGCAGTCTCGTTGTAACCTTTTGAGTCCACGGGAGTGGACCACAGGCGGCCAGAAGCGATATTGGTAAAGTTTCCTGGTACACAGCGTGCCTAAACTCCAGTCCACACTTGGGGCAATACAAAGCTTGCAGCCGGACCAGAAAACATTTCTTGGTGTCGCGGTTCCTGACCGAGAGCATTTCGAATCATGACTCAACACAAGAGATGCTGGACCCAGCAAGTAACACTGTGTTGAATGGCTGGGTCCACAGAAAGGTAATTTGTGCGCCAAGGTGAGACGAAGATCCAAATGAAGGGCGCTTCATCTCATTATGCTCGTCGTGTAAGAACGCAGAGATCCAAATCCAAGTTTGCAAGCCCGATACAAATTCATTGCGCAAATCTATCACCGACGACTTACCTTTATTTATTTCTTCTTCCTGGATCTTCAAGTCTATCCAGAGTATCCGAGGGTGTTGTTGGACAGGCAAGTGGTTGCTGCTGTTGCTGTGCCTTCAACTTGGCCTTGGCGTTGTCGCTCTATTGCTGCTTGTGTGACGATATCGTATGGTATGCTTAAGCCGGAAGATTGTTCAACACAAACTGAGGGTGACGTTGCTGTCGTCGGCGTTGCTGTTGCTGTTGGCCGCCGCTTTGAGTTGTTGCCGTGAAAAAGGATAAGGGATATCTATCAGGATTTTAACGGTAGCCTTCACACAAGACACCTCCAAGGTCGGTCAAGGAATGGATGCCAAAGATTAGCATAAAATCAAAGGAAGAGATGAGAGAAGCAGGAAGAGGCAAAGAAATAAGGTTGGGGCAAGGCGCTGTGCGTGACGTGAGTGACGAGCAAGGGACAAGCAGACCAGCGATCAATGTGAACGAGTGCCATGGATAAGTCGGCGCCGTACAGCCGAGAAGGGGGGTGGCATGACAGGGATCTTAGACGCTGCGACCACGGAGGGGTGTGCAAGGAGACAGTGGCGTAGGTGCAGCAAGGCAAAGAGGAAAGGCCGAGAAGCGAGCTCTCAGAGCAACAGGTGTCCTTGACGCCTTCCTCCCGAGCTTCGTGTTCTACCAGACTTACCAGACCTTCTCC